CGGTTGTTTGGATCAGGGAAAAGTCAACCACTGAGGACTTCCAGGAAGGTCCCGGCTTTATAGAGTACGTCAGATAGGTAGGTAAGACACAATCGTCCGGGGACACTACCGGAGTCCGGGACGGTATTAATACGTAACTTAAGTATACACTCTGGATCTTTCGGAGAGAGACTTCACCGGCGACAGCCGTCAACAATGGGCGAAACCCTGGGAATATGAAGTGCTTGCTCCGGGATGGGCAGATATGGAATGCCAGGTGTTACCTTGGGAACACCCGGCAAACGTGATATAGGCTTACCTGGGGAACAGTCTCCGAACAGGGCCCCGAACCGTGGGCTCTCCCTTTAGTGTTGTGGAGCTTGGGATTCCGAGGAATCGAGCTCTGGGCGCTTGGAGGAAAACGTGAGATTGAATTTAGTGTCGGCTGCCGGTATGCACTCGGCGCGACACTTAGACATATGGCAATCCTAAGATCTGCTAAACTACTAGGTTTCACTATAGTCCGACTTGGGGCTACTATACGTCGGACCTTCTGAGGTCGCATCTTTGTCAATATTGCGTCCCGGGGCCTGGTAGTCGGGGGCCAAAGTCCTCTTGGCTTGAGCGTTTGGGGTTTCTAGGGAACCGGCGATCGGGGACACAAAGCCGATTCCGGGGAAAAATCCCCGGGGTACTAAGCCACATCTCCTTGGGAATAGAAGAGATGGCGCCTGGTGTGGCAGCAGTCATGTCGTGCAGACGACGTCAGTGCGAGTTATGACCAAGATTGTTGCAGCGGCTAATGACACCAGGTCGGGCTCGCTGCAGCGGCATGACCCCGACAGACAGACAACTCGGCGGCGCGGTATGACGAAGGCACAGGGATCCGATACGGACTTCACACTCAACGCGACTGGGTACCGATGTAAGCGACGTGCAAGAAGGAAGGACAAACACTACCACAATCATGAAGAACATCGATTGGCAGTTGTATCTACGGCTGCCTCACGTTGACGAAGATACCCGAGAAGGAGAACTACACGGCGAGCGCCATCTTCTTGACGGATGAGAAGGGGTAGGGGTGGTACGGAAAGCCTCGCGTTCCTGACGTATGCAGAAATAGGTATACCGGTTTTATCCCTAGTATGATTCTGGTGTGCCTTACCCCAATATGCTCCGGTTTTAGCAGTACAGAGACTAGCCCAGTGTACTATCTTGACGACGCCAAGGATTGCAGCGAATGTTGAAGTTTGTCAGAGCGACGCAGACTCTGAAAAACATGTCATAGAACTTTCTGTCCCAGACCCATTTGGGTGAGCACACGCCCCACAAATCTTTCAATCTGCCAAAAAAAATTTCAGCAATGACCCGATTGTGTGAAATGCGGTCTTTTTATCGAAGCACCTCAACGCGAACTCTCTTCTGTCATTGAATTGTACGATAGTCGCTTTGTAGACGTTGATACCCCTTGTCGACTAGAATAGCCCAGTCGTTTTCAAAACGATCTTTTGACGGGCCTTCGCCGTTAGGATCTCCTTCGCCCTCCAACTTCTGCACTGCGGAGCGATGAAATTTTTCGGTTTCTTTGTATATGTTGATGTCCGATTCTCCTCCAGGGACCCAAGGTGTAAATTGGATTGCCACCCCTGTCAGAAGAACAGATACCTCCACCTTGTGGCCGTACAAATGGTGTTTCCCACTGTAATACTTTAGCCTCCAAGAAGCTACCCATGGGGCGTGCAGCGTGCTGGAAGGTAACATCAGTGGCATATCGCGCGCAAGAATATTTTTAAAAAGGTTGTGTCGTGTTGGGAATTCACGATTGTACCCCTCCCGCCACTCATAACAATTCGTTAGCCCCGCAAAGAGCTAACGACGAGCGGGATCAAAGGAATATACTCGAAAGTCCTTGACTCGATCCTCTTCTGAGTTCCACTTGACCCTGCGCTGGTAGTGTGGTAGGTCGCAGGTCGATCAAATCTGACGCCCTTGGTACGAGCACTCCAAGACGTCTTCTCCTCCTCCTCAAACTTGACCCTGCTTGCCCTTCAGTGGTGGAAGGTGCATGACTTCTCAGCCAGACGCAGGGGTTCTGGGCTCTTGCTCCAGCGGTAAGAATTACTGGGAATGTGCTTCCAGTCTTTGGCAAAGACCCGTCGGCCTTCAATACGACCAAACCTCGCACCTAGCGCTTGGTCTTGCCACGGATGAACAGGAGTTCTTCGACCGAGTTCACCAAAGACATATATGCCACACAAAGCGACCTGGCCCTTTTGGACTTACCCAAAAGATGTATTGACTTTAAGTAGCAAATTCTGTTCTGTTCTCCGCCCTAGTGGGCGTTAAGACTAGTCCTAACTCCTACTATAGCATATGCAAATAGCAAGTATAAATGCGACGAAGCTAACGACTCTCAAACGGCTAACGACATCTCGGCCAATCACCTGACGATGACTCGCCTAAGTGCGGATCTCGACTACTGGTCATCTGGAGTGTTGTACACAGCTCCAAATATAGTGACTTGGTGGTTGAAGGTCCTTATTAAGGGACCTACGAGCGTTCGTCACGAGTCGTAGTCCGGTAAAGTCCGGTTGTGTGGGCCACTGTCGTTGACTGAGAACTTCCAACGGCGGTTCCCATAGTTCCGTCCCATTCACCAACTCTGCACTCGTGCCGGCAAGTCGTCTTTGCAAGAAACCCGACACCAGAACTGCCTCCGCAGCGATACGAACCACCACTTGGTAAGTGTCGTTGCGTCCATGTCGTCTCCAGTTTCCAAGACCGTGTATCTATCGACTGCGGCACCGTCAGATCCAGCTGCAACTCCGGTACGTATCCACCTTCTCCGTATCTTTCCGTTGGAACTTGTACTCACCAGTGCAGATCGTTCCTTTACTGCAGACATCTCCTGCTACTGCTCGAACATCTACAACTTCCGAAGTCATCAAGGCAACTCTCGTTGAGGAACCTGCTGAATCGTCGTCGCAGACGACAACTCCACCTTTCCCGTCGGTAAGCAACATCATCTCGTTCTTTGTCATCATCATCGAAAATTCAAACCCCTTTGGCGATTCGAACTCCGACTCGGATTCACCGTCGGTTCCTTTGCCAGCGGCTGAGACTCGACCCAGCTCCACGGTACGTTTTAGGTACTGTAGCATCATTTCACTTACGCCTGGCTGACATCCAATCTTTGAGGCAACCACTCTGCGTGCTGCAGATGCTTCTGCGGCCATTCCCCTCGTTTTGCCTCCTCTAAGCGAGGAGCGAATTTGCGAGCTGTTAAACACGTCTTGACTCCGTATGTGGCTCCTGAGTTTACCACCGTCAGCGCGCAGAAGTACTGAGTTAAGCTCGAGTAGTCGTTCCTGCCTTCTCCCGTGCCTTCCGACGCGGAGGTTAAATGCACGACGGTTGGCATTGAGAAGTTTTGCAAGTTCACGGCCGACAACCACCCATGGCGGAAGCAAATGTCCAAGTGGCCTGAGCACGCATGTCTTTTCGACATGATGTTTGGAGCCGGCTTCGCGACTACGACAACCAGAAGTCGGCGGTGATGAGCGTTGCCATCTATGAGCGCAAACACTGGGTTTCTCCTGAAGCTGTCAAGCGCTTCTTTTCCCGCATGACTGCTCGGCTTGGGAACATCAAGGATGTCAAGCAGCGTCGTCGGTTCAAGTTGGCGCTTGAGCACTTGAAGAAAGTGTGGTTCAAGTACAACAAAGAGGGCGCGGACCGAGCCGATAACTTGCGAACATATTTTCCCGGCCGCATGTGGCCTTGGTGTGTTGGTCCTGACGCCTCGGTTCCAATGGAGACTCTGCTGGACCCGACCCTCCCATTCTACACCATGGAGAATCTCATGTGGGTTCCTGGGTCAGCAGATTGGTGTACAGAGGCTGCGCTAGTGGACGAGTCGGAGCCATGGCGTGTAGACTGGTTGACCTGCCCGGAGCAGAACCCGTACAACACGGTGTACGTTCCGTGCAACTCTCAAGTGCCGCTCTTCCTCCCTCCCGGCTCGACTGTCGAAGTTCTCGGTCCACGCATCGTCCCTGACTTGTCTTTGGCGCCGGAGGATATTGATCCTCGTGGGATCGTGCTTTTCGTGGAGCCGGCGAGGATGAGTAGATGGAGGACGGCAAAATTGGAGAGGACGACGCTGATTCCGTTGCCACCATGGACCTGAACCAAGAGTCGGCTGAAGACACCTCGGCCGGTCCTCGTGATGAGGCGGCTGATGCTGCTTTGATCCTGCTCTCCGCGGAGTCATCTCCGCCGCCGGAGTCTGGCGTTGTCGCCGAGATCTGAGTTATCGGTTTGTCATTTCACAGTTTTGCAGAGTAGTTAATCATTCAATTCTTTCTTAGTCCCTTCCATTTCCATCGCTTTTCGAGAAATTCATTCCATATCCAATTCATACACTCATGTAGAAGCACTAGTAATTTTCGTCTGGTATTGTGAGCTGCTTTGCCTCACACCCATGTCGTTCTTCATGATATTTTCGCCTTTCAGTCCTTGTCAGCGACTTGGACTATCTGTAGACGTTACTCGCTCTTCTTGTTCCGCAAGTAGTCATACAGGAGCGCTCCACACGACAGGTTAGGGGCCGATTCCCATGTAGTTGACTCGTAGCCAACCCACTTCACCTCAAATTCGCACACGGGTCTGTCCGTGCTGATTGGCATTGGCGTTCTGTTGATCAAAAATCGCTTCCACCTCAAATTCACCGGCAACTTCATCTCGCTCCCAGCTATCTTCCGGCAACAGCTCTTCGTCGAAGTCTAATCTCGCATCCTCACCAACATCTCGAGCTAAATCGCGCCTTCAGCCGATTCCAAAACCCGTTCACAGCCTTCAGTCGAGAGACGTGCACCACCGGGTAGAACCGATACCCGTTTTTATCTGGTAACTCGAGCTCGTACGCCAACTCTTCGCCATCCCGCTTCACTCTGAAGAGGTCATGCCATCGGTGAGCTTACGTTTTAACTAGCCCTGGCTTCATTCCCTCCATATGCAGCCAAACTCGGCTTCCAGGTCGAAACAGAGACTTCGGTTCCGAGTCGTCGTCGGACGAGTCATAGTTCGCACTCTTTGGTATTGTGGCTTGCTCTTTACGGCTGAGCTTCTCGTTATGAATTCTAACGTTTCGGGTCTTCTCTGTAGCTTGGTATTCCATTGCCATCTCAAGAGCAATCTGCTGCTGGTGGTTAATCTCTCGTCGCCAGGCTAGTGCCTCAGCCTGCTTAACAACACCTCGCTTCAGAGATGTCGTCATTGCTCGTAGCGTCGTATGGTCATCCCATCCTTGCAACAAGTAAAATTGTGTCTTTTTCCTGGTCATATCATGAGTGTTGTTGATCGCAAAGACTAGTCGCTCGGCAATCGCATCCCAGTCTTGCCGTAACGGGTCTTCCACGTAGACTTTGACAGACTGCATCACGGTCTTGACCGAATGCTCTTGCTGTCCAATCGCTTGTGGGTGATAGCTCAGTGTCGACATTGACCGCGATTTTATTAATTCGGCGAAGGCCTGGAAGACATCGCTCATGAAGCGTGGGTCTCGGTCATGTCGAATAAGAGACGGAGCACCAAATCGTCTGTAAATACATTCCTCGAACACCTTGGCCAGAGTCAGGGTATCGGTGTCCGACATCGCTTTAGCGATCACAAACCCAGTAAACGAGCACTGCCATAACAACAGAGCAGTGTTCCCTCGACGAGATCTCGGTAGAGGGATCACAAAGTCCATTGGCACCACCTGGAATGGTCGCTCTGCGAGCACATTACCAGGTGAGTAGCCTTGGAGCTGCGGCAAGCTCTTACTGAGCTGCAGTCGAGGCATAATTTCACATGTTTCTCTACATCTGCGTAGAGACCGATCCAGTAGTAGTCGTGTTTCACTCTCTGGTAAGAGCGGACGACACCATGGTGTCCTCCTTCGATGGAGTCATGACAGTTGTGTAGCACCTCTTGGATCATTGTGGTTGGTACCACAAGTCTCAACGACATCTCGGGCGGATTTTCCACGGCCTTTCTTCTGCTCACACCCGTGTAATACAGGACATTGTAATACAGGACATTGTCCTGGATTACACGGGTGTGAGCAGAAGGAAGGCCGTGGAAAATCTGACTTGATAGCACAAAGTTGTCCGCCCATTTCCAGGCCTCTCGAGCCTCTTTGTAAGTCATCGCTGTGGTTTCGTCTCCCAGGATAGCTTTCAGGTTCGACCACCTCAGCTCCTCATCCTGGGCCTGGGCGATACGACGCATTCACTCTTCTTGGACTGTAACCGTGTCAATGTCATCGGCTGTTGGGTCATATCGACCCTCAGCACTTGGTCGATGTACCAGCATTTCCGGGTTCTCGGTGGCTGCCTCAGTTGCCCCAGTAGTAGTCGTTCCTTCAGGAACTTCGTTCTCAAAGTGCACTCTTTTCTTCTTGGTCTGGTTTGACTTCGAGTTGTAGCTGAGACTTCGACGCGTTCTTGGTGCGCAAAGTCAGCAAAGGTCTTGCGTTGGGGCAGGATATCGCTGTCCATAACATGAATACGATATGTCGTTCCGTCCAAAATTTGAACGAAAGTGCCGGAACCCGTGTTATCGACCTTGATGTCGTCTGACGACGGCTCCTAGATCATTTCTTGGATTCTATTCAACTCCTTGAGTTCGGTCTTACGGTGGTCGTTGAGCACCACATTTGACACCTTTGACTCCAATGCTTCACCACCTAACGAGTCAGCCGCTGCGTTGTACTCGCGCACCACATGCAGATATCGGACTGACTAGAGCTTCGCAACGAGTTCTTGGTGGCGGTTCAGGAGCGTCATCAGCGAATACTTCCGACATGCAACCACCCCTAGGGATTGCTGGATTGCCAACCTCGATCCCCCAACGATGACTAAGTCCTCAGAACCATGTTCCAGGGTTGCGATCACCCCATGGTTCATGCCACTGTACGCAGGCATATTCACCGTAGTTTGCTCGAGGTAGGCACTCGCAGCGATCACTATCTGCCACTTCGGCAGCTTCCATACTATCCATGAGCAGCTACCATAGCCACCATTCTTCTCTGTCTTAGCGGAACCATCAAATGAGACCACAAATCCTTCATAGTCGTGTGGTAGTTGAGCGTACAGCAGACTCGGGTCCAACCGAGTACTCAGTGAACCTTTGGTAGGCGGTGCCACAGGTGCTAGCGAGTCGTCCAAGTCCACGAAGTTAGTGAACGTTGACTGGAGCAACTGTGTGAATGCGCAGACCTTCTCCCGAACTCGCTGCACTTCCAATTGCCATGGTGACAGCAGCACCGCAAACTGCACTGCTCGACCGAAAAGCGACTTAGATTTGCGAACCCATCCAAGTGTAGAGAATCGGGTGTACACATGTAGTGTCTTTCCCGCCAGCTGGGTGTAACAAATCTTGAGCAGCAGTAACAAATCTTGAGCAGCCGTAACAAGCTAGTACTTCCTTCTCTGTCGCGTGATAGTTCATCTCGGCATACTTGAGGACTCGTCCGCAAAAAACGAACAGGATGTAGTTTGCCGTCGTGCATCTGTATTAAGGGTGCACTTAGCGCCCACGCATTGGCGTACAGCATGATGTGCACCTCTTTCTTCGCATTGAAATGTCGTAGGATAGGAACTTCAGCTACTTTACGTTGGAGTGCGATAAAACCGTCTTTGGCTGCAGCCAAGTCACCTCCATCGAAGAAATCGTCTTTCTTCAACTGATATAGCGCGGCTCCATAGACTGCGAAGGCTTGGATGAAGCGACTGTAATAGTTGAGTGAGCCGAGGAACTGTTGCATTCCTTTCTTCGACTTGGGGAACGGCAACTTTGTGATGGCTGTCATCTTCTTGGGATCAGCCCGTATTCCTTCAGGCGACACCTCGTGAGAGAGGAAGTCGACCTTGGACTGACAAAAGATGCTCTTAGTAAAGCTGACACTGATCCTGCATTCCTCAAACCGCGCCAGTAACTTGTCCAGGGTGCCCAAGCAGTCGTCGAAAGTAGTACCACCAAAACAAATGTCATCTACAACAGATCGACGCTGGAATCTAGGACTAGCGATGCCTCGTCCGGTTTATTAGTCGCAAACATGTCTGCGTATGGATCGTTCACCATTCGTAACACCGGATCCAGCTCCGGCGACGTCTGTCGATCGGCTTCAAACTTGGTCCGATTTGTCGTCAGGGTGAAATCTGAGTCATCGTCGAGTAATTGTTGGTGTTTAGCTGCTTCTTCAGCGGGTTTCATTCGTTCAGCATACCGCTCCCATCCACCTTTAGGATGTACAAAGCCCCATAGCGCATTATCGATAATCCTTTGGTAGATCATGGAAGCATTCTTTGGCCCGAATGGCATTCGGAGCCACTCGAAGTGCCCTAAAGCGCAAACGAACGCTGAAGTCTTGCGTGCACGCATCGTCATCATGATTGCCCAAAATCCACCTGCGGCATCCAACGAGCAGAACCACAGGTAATTCCCCAGCTCAATCAACAGGTCATCGACCAAAGCAATAGCGTATTCCATGATAGCAGTGACCGCATTTACCATCTTGTAATATATACATAGCCAAATATCTTGACCGTTCTTTTTCAGCACAATCACGATGGGGGACGCCCATGGACTGTCCGAAAACGCAATGAGGTCAGCGTTCAGCTGTCCTTTGAGTAGCTCGTAGAGCTTCTGTAAGTGCCTCAGCGGAATTTGCCTCGCTAGTTGCTTAATTGGAGCGTGCCCTTGGACATCGATGTCACATACCACCTCATACGCTAGAGGTGGTAGTGCATTACCGCTAGAAATAATGATCGCTTCGTGCTTTGTCAGTACATCGTCAAGTCGCCGCTGCTTCTCGCCGACGAAACATTGGTTCTTCACATTCGGAGCGGTGTAGTCGAGTTCTGTGACAGAGGGCTCTGTCAAGTCAGGTAAGAATACTAGTTCTTGAGCATAGTCTTCCAGCGGGATGTAGTTCGCCTCCTGTACAGCGTAGTCGTCGTCGGCTGGATCGTCGTTGCCCTCTGTGGACAGTACGTGCATAATACACATGAACGTGTGCTACAGATCGGCGACGGCCGCGTCAGGCGATTTCGCGTCGCTGCGGGTTTCAGTCGGTGTATTACTGCACCCCCGATTAATGTCAAAATGTTCAATTGGAGTAGGACATGAAGCTACAAATACGACGGCAGCGCTAACCGGACCATCGCCCACTGGCGAGCCGTCGGTCGCACTGTCGACATTCTGAGCCATAGGCTCCATACCCCACTGTTCGTCCTGTGATAGCGAGTCATTACCATCGCTTGAGTACTCGTCGGGTTTCTGCAATATGTTGGTCGGCCATGTGTAGGGCTGTCGTTTGACTACGGGCGGCTGTGATGCCAGCCATCGCTCATACAGCTCACGCTCTAGCTTGAACCAGGTTTCGTCATGTGAACCGGCATAAGCTAACACTTGCCACCGCTCGTACTTCTGAGAGTCGATCGGGACGTATCCAGCCTGTTTTGGCATAAAGCCTCGGGGTACCCAGGCTATCACATTAAGATTTCCCGGACAGTACACCACCCGGTCAGTGATATTCATCAGTCGTACTTGGGTTGGCTGCCCCTTCCGGAACCGAATGATCGTAGGGATCAGTGCAGCAGTACGCCACACACAGACGTCGTGAGTTCCTAATGGTGGTTTTCTTTTCTGCAGCCGGAACTCAATCCACTCCCCTGCTGGTATCTACAGGCTCTCCGTTGGTCCCCCGGTGGCATGCATCCCTTCATCTGAGTCGTCATCAGCGCTTAGCGCTTTCGCCAGCGGCACCATTTCTTCTCCTGGAAGCTTGGCCGTCGCGTTGAACAGATCCAATCGTATTCCAGCTGGTATCATAAAGTCGGTACCGAGCACTACTTCTGATTCAGCACTGTGGTCCATGACCCAGAACTCCAACTCATAGACTGTGTTCCAACCTAGAGTAACCTTGGCCTTCACTCGAGTTGTCGTTGACATCTTTCCTTCTTGAATTCCTTGCACCTCGAGTTGTCGGCCATGCTCTTGGATAGGATCCAGTCGTAGTCGTCGCGCCAACTTCGTCGTGATTATGCTCACGTTCGCGCCGGTGTCCAAGAGGATCGAAGTCCTCACATCATTCACTGCACCACGAACGAGAGCTCGCATCCTCACTCGTCGGTCGAATCTCTGCGACGACCACCATCCTATTCGCTCCCCTGGGAGCAACTTCACCGTCTTGGCGTGCACAGGTGCGGCTTCATTCGCCTCACAGATGCTCACCAGCCAGTCATCGTTCACCACTTTTTCCGTTGTAGTATTTTTCGTAATCTCATGCGATGTGCCTCCGTCGAGACATACGCCACATTCTCCCTCGAACTCCACATTTTTCTCGTTTTCATCGTTGTTGTTGTCTTCAGGCCATTCACACTTCCCGATGAACGCATACAAACATTCCGCGTCAATCACCAGGTCGGCTGACTGTGGCTGCCCGGTAGGGACCAATCGGTAGGGACCAACCCAGTCTCGGCTGACGGGCAGCCTAGTTTAACCCCCCCCCTTTACTAAGGCTTGATAAGGAAGCATGCGACAATTTTCACATGCTTGATATCAAGCATGTGAAA